GCTCGACTGCAGCCAGGTCCCGGAGCACGACGCTGGCGGCGGCGCGGAGGAAGCGGTAATTTATAAGCGGCTTCTCCCTGACCTCGCGTGTCTGTTGTCTGAACAGGCAGCTCTCCGCATCACCCATCCTGCTGGGTGGAAAAATACCAGCTTGGCCGGGCCTGAGGCGGGGCCTGGGGCGGAGCCTGGACTCTCGGTCACGCCCACATGCGGGACACACAAACACACACACACACACACACACACACACACACACACACGCATGCACGCACGCGCGCACGAGCTCGGACACACAAAGAGCCCGGGCTCGCTTCGTCGAGCGCGCGCACCCATCCTCATGCTCTATCGAAACGCTGGTGGCAAATGGCACTGCTCAGACCTCTCTTTCGGGCGATGAGGAACTAGAGACCTAGATCCCTGGCTCATCTCCTGTCCTGATAGCCACTACCACATCACAACGCTCTCTAGCACATCCACCTAGCTCTGGGGATGAGGCCTGGGGCTGCTGCAGCTGCTAGGTCTGTGCCAGAATCTCTTCCTCCTCCGCTATGACCTCCTGGCCAGTGCGTAGCTCTGCGAGCCTGGCTGAGCTGCTGTGGAAATGATCACTGGAGTCAAGTCCCCCGGCCCACATGAGGCTGTCCTGGCTTCATCGTGGGCTGTGTGACCTCAGGCAAGTTCCTCAGATTTCTGTGTCTTGGTTTCCTCATCTGTAAAACGGAAATAAAAATAGTGGAACTCATCACTTTTGGCTGCTGGGAGGCTCCAAGGTTAACAGAGCCGGAACAGGGCAACAGGCACCTACGAAGTGCCAAACGAGTGTCAGCAAATGTGACTATTTTTAAATGGAGATGGGGAGTGTGCCATTATTCTTGCCCTTATTTGAATGAACAGGTCCTCTCTCTGATTGTACACACCCACAGCCCGGCTGAGCCTGAGGTGGCGCTGTGTGACCTTCAGTAAGGCCTTCCCCTCTCTGAGTGCCCACTTCCTTTTCTTTCCTCTCCACTCTGTCTGCACACAAGTGGCTGTTAATGTAACATGCCTCGCCTTTTGCCTCTTAAACTGAGAATAAGGGCCCTGACCTGGCCAGCCCGAGCCCATTGTCCTAGGCTGGCACAAGATAACAAGAAGCAAAATAGCAGAGGGGGTATTTTTTCTCTAGCAGGCTTCATTCTGTCCCCCTGCCATTGGGCTCCAGTTTGTCCTCCCACCGGGTGCCCCTAAGACCACCTCCAGCCAGTCTTCACAGAGGTCCCTCCTGTCTGTAGTCCAGGAGCACACACAGAAGGCCACAGGTAGCTTCTGCTGCTGCTCTTCTGAGTGATAGAGGGAAAACTGAGGCTAGAGGAGAAGGGACTTCAGACAGTGGGTATGATGGCCCACGCCTATAATCTCAGCACTTGGGAGTGCCAGGAGTTCAAGGTGAGTCTGGACTGCATAGTAAAACCTGAATTTAGAAAAAAAAATTAGATGGATAGTAATGATGCACACCTCTAATTCCAGTATTCAGGAGGCAGAGGCAGGTGGGTCTCTGCGTTTGAGGCCAGCCAGATCTACAGAGCCAGTTCCAGGACAGACAAGAGAAACCTTGTCTTGAAACCCCCCCCCAAAAAAAAATTCCACAGTGTTCCAGACTCACATGTCACTACCCACAGCACAAAGGGCTGAGGCCAAGGGGCAGGTTAAAGAGTAAGGAAGTGGCTGAAGTTTGAACCCAGAGCACACTTGAGGAAGCCGGGGACACTGTGGGGGCAGGCAGAGGGACCTGGGGCGGGGATGGAGGAAGCAAGGGCTGCAAGGCTGCGGAGGCCTTCAGGCACGGCATCACAGGACTATGCAGACAGCCAGGGCAATGGAGGGCACAGTGGCAAGGCAGGCACAGGGAGGCAACTGGAAAGTCCCTCAGGGAAGCCTGCACCTCAGAATGATCCACAGTGATAGCTGTGAAGAATGGTAGGGACGCGGCTCAGGTACCCATTCACCTTTCCCCTCTGTGATGTCAGCTCTGTAAGCGTGAGATCTGGTCCTTGACTCCATCAAGTGCACAAGACTTCACAGGCATGGTGTACAGAAAGTGCTCACATTTATGGAATTATTATGTGTTGAGATGGGGTTACCACGTCATTGCCTAGCCTGACCCCAAATTGTTGCGCTCAAGGCACCCTACTGCAGAGCCCTTGGGTAGCTGGGGTCACAGCTGAATGCCACTTGGGTCACCACACTTGCTATATTTATTTTGTTTAGCTTCCTTTCGATAGCAGTTTCATGGCCGGCAGAATTCACTTTGTGTAAACAGGTTCAACCTGGCCCTCGTTACAGCATCTCTGTGAGCTAGCTCGGCACTGCTGTTTCTCCCACTTTGCAGAAGGAAAAACTGAGCCACAGGGAAAATAATTGGCCTGGGGATGCTTGGCCGGTGAATCACAGAGCTGGAATCTAAACGTAGACCGTCTGTTTGTTTCCAGGGGGGCTTTGGGAGAACCCAGCCCCAGGTTGTGGGTGCATCAGGTCAGTCAGGCATGAAGCATGAGCTCAGCATGTGAGAGGCCATGGACTGTCGGGAATCACAAGTCTCAAATGGGGCAAGCTATGCTGAATGCAGTTCCAAAGGCTTTCCCTGCACTGGGCTTCATCCATTGTGTTTTGAGTTTATTGCCATGAATCAAAATTGAGGTGATTTTGCATATACAAACACCTGTCTCTCCAGCTGTTCAGATGCTTGGACAGGACTGCTGGGCCCAGGAGTTTAGAGCTGGTCTGACAATATAGGGACACTGTGTCTCTTTAAAACAAATAATTTCAGACTGTGGGGTGGTGGTGCATTCTTTGAATCCCAGCACTTGGGAGGTAGAGGCAGGTAGACCTCTGAGCTCAAGGCTAGACTGACTGGTCTACAGAGCGAGTTTCAGGACAGCCAGGGCAATGCAGAGAAACCCTTTCTCAAAAAACCAATATAAAATAATATTTCAATCCAGGCATTGTGCCACACACCTTTAAGGCCAGAACCCAGAGGGCAGAGGAAGGTGAATCTCTGTGAATTTCAGGCCAGCCAGAACTATATAGTAAGTCCCTGTCTCAAATAATTTGTCCAGACACAATGGTACACACTTGTAATCCCAGCATATATGAGGCAGAGGATCAGGAGTTCAAGTCCATCTTTGGCTACAAGAGACCCTGTATCAAACAATTTAAAAATAAAATAAAATAAACGGGGGTAGGGGACAGAGAGATAGATCAGCAGAGCTCAAACAATTCTTGCAAAAGTTCCCATCACCCATATCAGACAGTTCAGACCACCTTTAACTCCAGCCCCCAGGGGATCAGATACTTCTTCTGAACTCTTAGGACACTATATGCATGCACATACCTGCACACACACACACATTAAAAAATAATCTAAAAGAAATGAATAAACCTATAGTTCCAGCCCTGAAAAGACTGAGGCAGGAACATTGGCTGCAGTTTAATAAGATCCTATCTCCAAGAACAAAACAAAACAAAACATAAGGGCCAGCAAGTTGGCTCAATAGATAAAGGTGATTACTGCAAAAGAGATCCAACCCGAATCTCCAGAACCTATATGGTAGAAGGAGAGCCAACTCATACAAGTTGTCCTCTGACCTCTATACACATTGTGACACATACACACACACACACACACACACACACACACACACACACACACACAATGAATGAATGAATGTGAAAAAAAGCTTTAAAAAGAAAATTTGGATTCTCTTGAAAATTGTTAGAATGGGAACCCTGCTGGTCCATCACCTACCTGTCCAAAACTATCAAGCACTGAAGGCTTCCTTGGCATGCTCACATGCTAGACATGATCCCCCCACCCACACACACACCCAGGATACTCTCTATCTTGCGAATATTTCCAAGAGGCTGAGCTGGGACCCAGGCCCAGGCCAGTGGTGGGAGCTGCAAGATTCAGAAAGAGCTATTGGGCACCCAAGGCACCAAAAACACTGGCGCTTATGTGGTGCTTCAAGGAAAGCCAGGCAGAAGTTCCTTCCATGAGCCAAATACTGGCTGACATTCCAGTGGGACCAACTCATTTCAGGAATGAAAAATCGATGTTTGGGCAGAGCTCCTGGGGACATGCGCAGGGTGATGGCCAGGGTTTGGGCTTTTGGTCGGCCGCTGTTATTCACAGCAGTGAACACGGTTTGTAAGAAGCCACTGGGAGCATATTACTCAGAAGCTCTCAATAGTGACATCAAATCGATCCAGGGCTTTGAATGAAGCCTCCCGACCCTGCCAGAGGAACTCCCGTCCTATCTGTCAGGTCATTAAGAGTAGTGGCAGTGCTGAGGGCGGCACAGCACATGCTGGGCCATCTGGCCAGCTCAGGAAGGCCACTTGGCACCAGCTCTGCAGAGGATCGAGGATCATCTTGGCCAGCCTCACAGGACTCAGAACACCATCCCCCATGAAAGCCGTGAAGAAACAAGCAGAGCCATGAGGTGGCCAGCGATTCTTTTCCCAACAATATCACGTTCTCCTAGGTACCCCCTCTCCAGTGTGTCCACATGTCCAGCAAAGGACCAGTGGTCACACCATAGAACTTGACCAGAGTACCTGCCTCTCAGGAACATGTGTCCTGCCTACCTGCCTTCCTCTTGCCTGCTTGCAAATCACAGAGCCCACTGTGGGCTGTGCCACCCACAGTGAAGCATAGACCTCTCTGTGCCTCATTGTTCTGATCTGTACAGCCAGACTAAATAAAACACCAGTTCCCCCAGCACTGCTGTGAGGGTCCAGTGGAGATGTTTCATGGGAAGCACTGAGCAGGGTCTCTGGCACCGTTCACCACGGGGCATGTGAAAGTACTCCTCTTACCCATATGCCCCCGTGCCTGGGGCTTTCCCCCTTCTGAGCCTTCCTTCGTACTGGTTCTTCCCTACCCAAAGCATATCGCCCATTGGCCTCCTGCAGCCTGGGACTCAGCCAAAGCTGGAGCTCCAATCAGGAAGTACCCAGGAGGCAGACTCCCTAGCAGTGCCCAGCATGCAGCCAGCACAGAGGAGCATGGGAAACCATTGCCGGATGTGGTCTTGGGGAGGTAAGTCCCTGAGCCCCACTTCCTCCTCTGTCTGAGGGAGCAGACTGCCCCAGAGCCAGAGAGGGAAGGTAGCATTGAGAGGCATACTGCAAAGGACCAGGAACCTGCAAGCAAGTACACATTGCTGCATGGCTGTGTCAGGTCCCTGGGAGTGACTGCAGGGGCCAACTTCTTCCAGGTCTTCTCCCACCCCTGGCCCACCTCCACTCCCGGCTGAAAGCATAGAAGGGACCACCACCTTGGAAAACAGCTTGGCAGTTTTAGATAAGGTTAGAAATTTCTAGTAAGGCTGAACTCTTGGCCTGTAAGCGAACAACCCCACGCCCAAGTACTGAGACTCAGAATCCTACCCCCTTGTGCAAGAATGTGAATGGCCGCACAATTCGTGGCAGCTAAAAATGGAAACAGCCTGGTTGTATCAACAGGAAAATAGAAGGCGAATGATTGCTGCTCTCACAAAAGGACTCCTGGGATGCGCAGAACCACGAGGGAACTCAGAACACCCTGGGTGAGAGAAGCCAGACTCCCTGTGGTTTCATTTATATGGAAAATCAGACTGGGATCTGAGAGCGAAGGCTGCCTGAGGGGAGGGGAGTGGCCGAGCTCTGGGGACCAGAGTACCCTGGGACTCAGTAGCCTGGCCTGAGGAGGCCACACGGGGGCTAGATGAGCACATCTTAACGCTTTTTCAGTGGGCAGTACACAGGTCTTTGATTCTGCAGTCCATACCCCCACCCCATTCTTCCTCCCATCCAGTTATGAATCAAAATCCTAAGCCAAGGGGCTGAAGAAACAGCTCAGTGGTTAGGAGAGAATACTGCTCTTACTAAGAACCCGAGTTCAGTTCCCAGTGCCTGCGTCAAGTGACTGGCAGAGTCTGCAACTCTGCCTCCAGGGGACCTGGTGCCCTCTTCTCTCCTCCTGCAGCGCTGGCACATACCCACCCACAGACACACATATTTATACATAAATGAAAACCTTTAAAAGCAAATGTTAGGCAAAGAAAGCAGGACCGCCTTAAGCTGGAGATGTAGCTCAGTAGGTATAGCGTTTTTCTAGAAGTCACAAAGCCTTGACTTCAGTCCCCAGTGCTATATACGCTAGACTTGGTGGCACAAGCCTAGAATCTCTGCATCTAGGAGGTTGGAGAGTCATAAGTTCAAGGTCATCCTTTGTTAAGTGAAGAGTTCTAGGCCAGTCTGGGCTACTTTAGACTTTATAATTAAAAAAAAAAAAGGAAAAATTGCATTTATATTGAACATATCCAGAAATTTTCCTTGTTAACATTCCCTGAAACATGCAGCAGAAAAACTGTTAACGCAGCATTTACAGTGTATTATGTTATTCTAGTGCATTATGTTATTATTTTCTGGCAGTGCCTATTAGAATCAAGGTCTGGCACAGGTTAGGCAAGTGCCCTGCGGGGAGACCTCCCACAGCCCCATCTAGAGATGACTTACCGTGTTCAGGGAAGGTGCTGATGTTACAAAAAAAACCACCTCATCGCCACTGTATACAAGGGGTGCAAACATTTATAGATGGAGGGAAGGCGTGTCACCAAGCCTGAAGACCTGGGTTCGATCTCTGACACCCACATAAAAGAGGAAGGAGAGAAAAGATCTTCCAAGGTTTTCTTCTGACCTACACACTCACACACACACTCACACACACACAGACACACACACTCACTCTCACTCACACACACACTCTCACACACACCCACTCACTCACACACACTCGTGCACACACACACACACACACACACACACACACACACACACACACACATACACTGGTTTCCCTAGGCACTCAGGCCTCCTCCTGACTTTGAGCCACCCTCTGTGTGCTCCCATGCCCCCAGAGGCCTGTGAGACAGAACCCCACCACCACACACACACTCACACACACACACTCATGCACACTGCTCTCCCCACGCACTCCGCACTCCTGGCACTGCTGCTTCAGAGCCTTTATACCACTGTTCCTATGCAGGGCACTTTCCCTCAGCCCTTCTCGGGGAACTCCTGTGGCCCTGGCTAGGTAACAGCCTTAGATCTCAGCTTCTTGGTCTCCTGCCTGGCTTCTCAGGTAGTCACCAGCCCATTGTCCTGCCCTGAGTTCCATCCTCAGAACCACAGAAGAAAAACCTAGTGCCAGCCAGGCATGGTGGCGCTTGGGAGGCAGAGACAGGTGGGACCTCATAGAGTTCAAGGCCAGCCTATGTATAGAAAAATTCAGGATAGTCAAGGCTACGTCCCTGTCTCAAAACAAAACAAAAAACAAAACAAAACAAAACAAACCACACAAACAAAAAGAAATACTGATTGTCTATTTCTCCTCTTCACCAGAAATTCCAGTTTAATTGAGTGTGAAACTATTTTTTTTTTACATATTTAGACAGGCTCTCATGCATCCCAGGCTAACCTCAAACCCACAGCAATCCTCCTGTCTCCTAAGTGTTTGGTTTACGTAATTGTTAAACAAACTCTCCAAATAATGTGAATGGCTCATCAGGACCCAGAAGGTTTGGCCCACGGGTGCTAAGCACCCTATAACATCCTAACTGCCCAGACATACCCAGGCAGGCCCACTTCCTCTGCCCTAATTCCTCTACATTCTTGCTTGAGTCTCTCTGAGGCTGCCTTCTTAGATTTGGGTATTTCCCCTCCCTTCCTAAACACAACAATTCAAAATATTCCTAGCCTCCAGACAATAAACAAAGCTGGGGAGGCAGCTCTCCTCTTTGTGCCCACTTATGGCCTGATCCAAGGCCTCCCTGATTGGGTACTCAGACCACTGGGACTGGTCATCTGAGCCTGGGCGGAGGAGGCCAATTTCCATTGCTATAATCCCAGAATCCCATGACTATTAGGTGAGCCCCCCCCCCCCAGGCACACCCCAAACACCGCTTTCCCAAGGAAACAGATGTGAGTGATTTGTGCTAAGATACACAGCAAGGCTGATAAGGCCCTGGCCCCTCCGGCCTGAGGTTTCCAGCTCTGGGGCAGATGTGGGCTCTGCAAAGGGCTGTAAGGCTGTCAGGGACGGTGTCCCTTATCAGCTGTTACCTCAGACAAGAGATCAGCTCCAGGCTAAACCTCTGAACACTCACTTGCAAATGGAGACGGCTACAGAGCCCTAGTTGAGGTCACTGTGAAGGCCCAAGTCTATGCAGGGCCAATGCTCAGAATTATCACTGTCATTCTTGAACTCTTGAATATGCTTGTAATGATGGCAAAACTAGCAGGAATGAACAAAGACCCCAGGGGGCGACAGTGGAATGGGGAAAATGGGAGGTTTGATGCCTAGGTGCATGCCTGTGCTGCCAGTAGTGGTGGAGGCCAAGGAATCAGAAGTTCAAGGTCAGCATAGGCTACTTAGTGAGTTCAAAGCACACCTGGGATTCAGGTTAACAAGAAAAAGAAGGGGGCACTGGTAGGAGGAACAGAGGGGAAGAAGCAAAAGGAAATGTTAGGTCCTAGAAGGATGGAGCTAATGTTGTCTTTGTGGCAGTAGCCCTGAGAGTGTCTTAGGCCCCTCCTCCTGCCCCAGCCAAGCTTTGCTGCTTTTTGTAACTAGTTGGGATCTTTCTGTATTGGGAATGGAGCCTGGGCCTTAGGCGAGCTCGGCCACGGGTGCTCTCTCTGCCACCAACCTCCATCCCCAGCTACTAGAAGCCTTTAAGCCTATTATTTTCTGCCTGTGTATTGAAAAGCTGGGAGTCCAGCCTCTATCCCACACATCTCCCTTTATCCCACACACGGCCCTTTGTGTATGAGCGGTGGAGAAATAGGGGTGACACAGAACACACGTCACCCGTAACAGCACAGACAGACCAGGAGATGTGCCCTGACTCATCACTGGATATGTGATCAGTGTGTGGATGGCTCTCTGTACAGACACCAATTTCTCACAAGTGGTCCAGCCAGACAAGACAGATGAAAATCTCAAGGTGTTCCTTAGGCTCTGATCTTCTACCTGAGACATTTTCCCGGGTCCCAGGCTTTGCAGATAGGCCACCTTTCTACAGACCACCCAGCTGCCACCATCACTGGGGAGTACACGCAAGGCAATCTGTTAGTTTGGCCTTTTGTACGCCCAGTCACCAGTGCCCAAGGAAGACACCTAAGAACTGTTCTACTTGTGCTGTGTGACAGCAGACAGATTGCCCAGCCTTTCTGGGTCCGAATTTCCCGAGAGGCAGAAAGACAATGCTCACCCATGAAAGCGCCAATCACTAGAGTTAATTCTAACTAATAAGGGGGGGTGTTCTCTTTCCCATTAGAAACTACTCTAGCTAGGTGCTCACAGGTCGACACCCTTTGCCACCTGTCAATAACCGTTTCATCCCATTTGGTGGCTTTATTATTTTTTTTTTTCTATTGCACGCAGGATCTCTCTTCACATGCTAAGCAAGCATCCCCAGCCCCCATCTCCCATCTCCTTTTCTTACAAAGCTGTGCCCAGAGATTGAATCCAGCTGGGTAACTGGCTTACCATGGCCCTTGTTTTTATAAGAATTTTACTTTTTAACAAAATGTGTACTAGTGACGTAAAAGTGTACTTAGAAAAGAAGTTCAGTGGAGAGAATCTTCCAGGCCCTGCAGTTCCTGAGGCTGCTGTCATCTCAGTGGATCTTTCTGCCACTCTGGAGGCCTGCAGGCCCAAGACAAGGCCCCAGCTTAGCTGGGGTTCTCAACACTACCCTTACTTGCTTCGGGTTTGTATGGGTCTCCATCACTCCCCGAACTTCTTGGTCCACATCTGTCTCTCTCCTGCCTCTACTTTTGTGTGGCAATCCCCTGTACTATCATTTCCTTCTTGTTTTAGGGAGGAAGGGCTTCCTGTAGCCTGGGATGGCCTCTAGCTACCGCGCCAGCACGGTCTGGAACCACGAGTCTCGGCGGAGGGTGTCCAGGTTGAATGAAATCCACAGAGCACGAGGTTGAGGTGAAACAGCAGCTCGTTTATTGTTCTGCTGGGGCTAGCTTTTATACCATGGCACCAAATGGGGAGGGGGCTGCGAAGGGACCGTCACCTGACCCAAGGAGGAACTCTCACCTGACCCCAGTAGGGGTCAAGGACTGATCACATGCACTCCACCTTCACCTGTCCCCAGTAGGGATCAAGGAATAATCACGTGCACTCAAACTTCCTCATCCAACTCCAGGAGCAGAGGGAAGTTAAGGTTCTTTGCAGATAAGCACCTCAAATGGGGGCAGGGAAATATAACTCGGGGTAGCAATTCCCACATCTAGCTGCCTATATAGCCAAGGATGGTTGAGCTTCTAAGCTGTGTGGGGGCTACAGGTGTGCACCACCATGCCCACCCAGCTCATGCAGTGTGGGAATCCAATCAAGAATTACAAGCTTCCTAGTCAAGTACTCTCCCAGCTGAACTACAACCCAACTACAGAACTACAGCATCTCAAAACGCTGTGAAAAACTAAAATTTACAATAATTAATGGGGGCACCACTGCGGGAGATGGCTCAATAGTTAAGAGTACTGCTTTCAAAGACCTGAGTTCAGTTCCCAACACCCATGCTGGGCAGCTCATAACCACCTAACCCTAGGTCCAGGAGATCCCACATCCTGTAGGCACCTTCACACACTCACAAATAAAGCATAACAATAAATCTTTAAGACCAGATATGGTGATACACTCCTTTAATTCTAGCACTTGGGAGGCAGAGACAGATCTTTGTGAATTCAAGGCCAGATTGGTCTACATAGTGAGTTCCATGATAGTCAGGATTATATAGAGAGACTCTGTCTCAAAAAAATAAAATTAAAAAAAAAGCTGGGCGGGGGTGGCACATACCTTTAATCCCAGCATTCAGGAGGCAGAGGCAGGGGAATTTCTGTAAGTTTGAGGCCAGCCTAGTCTACAGAGTGAGTTCCAGGATTGCCTCCACAATTACTGAGAAACCCTGTCTCAAAAAACCAAAAAAAGTAAATAAATAAACAAAAACAAAAACATAATAAATAGATAGATAAAAATTTTTAAAAATCTTTAGAAACAAAAACTAATTTAGAGGCTGGGAATGTGGATCAGTTGTGCCTGCTCAGGTGTGCTGTTTGGTTTTGGTTTTTGAAACAATACTGACCTGGAACTCACTTGACAGCCAAGGACGACTTTTACCTTCTGATCCTCCTACCTCCACCTCCCAAGTGCTGGGTTACAGGTGTGCACCACCACACCTGGCTTATGCAGTGCTGGGGAGCGAACCTAGGACCTCCTGGATGCTAGGCAAGCACCCTACCAACTGATCCACATTCCCAGTCCCTAAACTGGTTTTTGTTTCTCAAGAAGATTCAGTTTAAAAAAAAAAAAAAAAGAAGAAGATTCAGTTTAAGCCTTATTTGAAATCTTCACAGCGCCTATGGAAGAAGATAATCCCCAGTCACTGCCTGAGTCAGAGCCAAGATGACTTCAGGAGAACCTCTTTTAGGGACACAGGCAAGGCAGGAAGGAGACTTCAGCCAGGGCCTCCCCAGGCGAAACCGCAGCTCTGAGCTGCAGCTCTCCCACTCTCCTGACCCCAGCTACCTTGCCCTAGAGTCTTTCCTGAAGATACCCAGGGCTGTGGCGCAGACCCTGTGAGCATTTGCTATAGCTGGGGCCCAGCACTGCCTATGCTCTGCCTTTGACACATTCCACCTCCAGAAAACTTCCCAAGCAGAGGCTGCCCCCACCACCGACTCCACCCTCCTCTTCCCACCCCCACCCTCTATGATGGACTGTACCTTGTCACAGTACTTGTGTTCAGATGTGCCAGGAGAGCCAGGGAGGCTGCCTGAGAGTGACAGTGCGACTTTGTAATGAGGACTGCAGAGAGACACACTTCACTGTCCCAGCCCAGCATGTAATTGTAAGTGTTTAGCTCGCTCAGTACTTTTCATTGTTCGACTTTCCTGAGCAGGATTCAGGAGTCCAGGCTATCACAGGTACATGTATAGAAGGAAACACTGCAGGCTGGACAGGTGGCACAGTGCTTAAGAACACTGGCTGCTCTTCCAGAGGTCCTGAGTTCTAGTCCCCTGCACCCACCTTGGGGCTTACAACCATCTGTAAATGGTTTCAGGGTATCTGATGCCCTCTCCTGGTCTCCTTGGGCACTGCACACAGGTGGTACACTGCTTAACAAACAAGCAAACGCTTATATATATAAAATAAAACGAAACGAATCTTAAAAAAAAAAGAAAAGAAAGCTTAAAGTTCTAAAAACAGAAAATGTGCAAAACACTGTTGGAGCTCTCTGGCCTTATAGGACTGTGGTGGCAGAGATGCCATTCTTGCTACAGTGTAAGGGCTTCAAAGTCTGTGTTGTTACTTTTCCTGTTGTCATGAGGAAAGACCCAAATAAAATCAATTTAAGGAAGAAAGGGTTTATTTTGGCTCACAGTTGAAGTGTCAGGTAGGGAGCCATGGCAGCAACCGCCTGAGGCAGCTGGTCACATTGTATCCGCAGTCAGGGAGCAGAGAGAGGTGAAAGCCTGCTGGCTTTCCTCCTTTCCTCCTTTTTATTCCTCTGCCACACCAGCCCACTTAATGGTGCCACCCACAGCCAAGTGACTCTTCCCACCTCAGTTAACCTCATCTAGAGAAGTTCAGAGGCTTCCCGGGAGGCTTGTGTCCTAGGTGACTCTAGATCCTATCAAATTAGCAGTTTAAACCAACAGGAAGTCACAGACACAGCTAGCCTGGACAGGGTCCAAGGGTGTTCGGGCTCAGGAACCAATGGTTCAACTTCTCCTTGATTGTGCTTTCTTTTACTGACACCTGTCTGATTGGCTCTATATGATAGCGGTGGAGGTGAGGCTGGGAAGTCCCTGAGCTGAGCTGAAGGGGCCACAGGGAATGAAAAGTGCCTCCACTTTTGGTTAAATGCTTCTACAAATCCCCTGAACCACCACTTTTCCCCTCTGCCCACTCCACAGCTCTGTTTCTTTTCCATTTTAGTTTAGTTTTTGTTTGTTTGTTTTTGACGGGCTCAGATTCACTATGCAGCTAATGCCTCCACCTCCCAGTGTTGGGATTACAGCATGCATGTACCATTATGAAATTATGAATCCTCCTTGGTCTCCACCTCCCATGGTCTCCACCTCACCTTTCTTATTCTTTCTCATCTCATTCTTCTGTCTCCCTAGAACCTTCAGTGGCTCCCCATTACCTGCTCTGATATGGTGACAGTCCTAGAAACCCATGGCGTCCTTCTTTCCAGCTCTCTGTCCCTCTCCTTACCCAAACATACCCAGTGGTGTTCCCTTGCACTCCGTCTGTCCCCACTTGATTCTTTCTTTAGCCTCTACTCAGATTCCCTTTACTCCCCAAGCACCACCCAGCATCACTGTTCTACCACTCCTTGCTTCCTCTCCAGGTTGTCCGAGCCACTCCTGCAGCTCTCTGCAGCTCTTCCTGTGGAGATCAAGGACAGCAGTGTGGAGCCAGTTCTCTCTTTCTACAAGACCGAGGGCTAGAACTCGGGTCATCAGGCTTTCCAGACCAGCACTTTGACCAGCTACACCCTCTCTGGGACTTTAAAAATTGAACTCTTGTCCGTGAGCATACTAGCTAGGTAGGCACTCTCCACCACCACCACCGCCAGCCACTCCCCAACCTTGTACTTTTCCAGAAGGAAAACTTTTCCCCAAGCAGCAGGTGCTGTCACGTGTGTTTGGTCAGCACCGGCCCCATGCCATTTTAGATGGCTTGCACCACCAGGTCAAGATCTATGAAACCATAATCCAAAGCAACTCTTTTTTCTAAATTGACTCTCCGGAGTGTCTTCTTGCAAGGAGAACTCTGAGACTCTCATCTCTTGTGGAAGTCCTCTTTGCCCTCTTTCTGGGGAATCCCTGGTCCCACTGAGGCAGTTACAGATGCATTTCTGCTCCCACATACTGGCCAGGCTGTCTTTGAACTTCATGTGAACGGGTCATACAGTGAGTTTGATCTCTTTCCTTAAGCAGAAGGACACAAGATGGAGCGACTAGTGTAGGCTCTCTCTCTCTCTTTCTCTCTCTGTGTGTGTGTGTGTGTTGTAGCAGTCAAGCCTTTTGTTGTTAAGCAGTAAACGTCTGCTCTATGATGAACCAGTTTCTGTTTTTGCTGTTGAGGCACAATTGGGGTGTGATCACCTTATCAGTTTCAAGGTTGGGGTGTAGTTAGTAGTGCAAGGCTGGTCTTGGGGCTGGAGTCCTCCTGACCTTCACTTCCCCAGTACTGGGATTGCAGTCTACCCAAGACTCCTCCTGATTTTATATAAACTGAGTTAATAGAATCCTAGCAGCCCTCAGGAAATAAGAGGATCGCCAAAAGTTCAAGGCTAGCCTGATCTACATTGAGAATTCCAGGCTAGCCAGGACTATATTGCAAGAGTTTGTCTGGGGTTGTATGTATGTATGTATTTAATTTATTTAATGTACATTGGTGTACATTATGTACATTATTTTTTGCCTGCATGTGTATCTGTGTGAGGGTGTCAGATCCCCTGGAGCTGAAGTTATGCAGTTGAGACCTGCCATCTGGGTGCTGGGAATTAAGCCCAGGACCTTTAGAAGAGCAATTAGTGACTTTTTTTTTAAAGAAATGTATTTTTTCAAAGATTTATGTATTTATTATATATACAATGTTCTGCCTGCTTGTGTCCCTGAAGGCCAGAAGTTGGCACCAGATCTTATTACAGGTGGTTGTGAGCCACCATGTGGTTTCTGGGAATTGAACTCAGGACCTCTGGAAGAACAATCAATGCTCTTAACCGTTGAGCCATTTCTCCAGCCTGCAATTAGTGTTCTTAACCACTGAGTCATCTCTCCAGTTCCCTGTCTAAAGTTTTAAAAGCAAAATAATGGGGCTGGAGAAATGACTCAGTGGTTAAGAACACTAATTGCACTTACAAGCACTGACTACTCTTGCAGAGAATGAGGGTTCTATTCCCAGCACCTACATAGGGCCTCACAGCCTTTAGTAATCCCAGTTCCAGGGGATCTGATGCCCTCTCCTGGCCTCCACCAGTACCAAGCCCCAAGACTTAAATGCAGAAAAAATACATTAAAAAATAAAATAATTTTTAAAATTAAAAACAGCTCGTGATTCAAGAAATAGAAGTGCAAAATTTGAAAAATTAAAATAAAATAAAACATGATTTCATAAGTAGGTCTGTGTTTATTTTGCCTCTTTCTAATATCAGTTGATCTGAATATTATAATCTTAAGTTAGTCAGATGATGACCCCTAATACAAGTCAGATCTAGTCTCAAAAGGAGGGGCAGAGAAGGCCAAGTGTGGTGGCGCACACCTCTAATCTCAGCATTTGGGAGACAGATCTCTCTGAGTTTAAGGTCAACCTGGTCTACATAGCAAGTTCCAAGACAGCCAAAGCTATATAGAAAGATCCTGACTTGAAGACAGAGAGAGAGAGAGACAGAGAGAGAGAGAGACAGAGAGAGAGAGAGAGAGAGAGAGAGAGAGAGAGAGAGACTGGTGTTTTGTTTTGTTTTACAATGCTGAGGATGAAACTCAGGTTCTCCAACTATCAGGCAAGTGTCTGACCTTGAGCTAAATCTCAGTCAAGTATTTGTTTTGTTTAAATTATATGAATGTGTGTCTGTGCACATGAGTGAAGTGCCCAAAGTGGCCAGAAGAGGGCACTGGAGTTACAGCTCTTAGCTGCCTGATGTGGGTGCTGGGAACTGAGTTTGGGCCCTCTGCAAGAGCACTACATACTCATAACAGTTGAGGTATCTCTCCAATCATTTGCTTCAAACAGAATATCACTTGATTACCTAGGCAGGCCTACAATTCACTCTGTAGTTCAGGCTGGTCTCAAACTTGAAGCAATCCTCCTGTCTCAGACCCCAAATGCTGGGAGTACAACTGCAAGCCACACCTGGCTTCAAGTCTTGGGTTCTGTGTGAGAGTTAGTCCAAGGTTTTGTGCAGCAAGGCAAAAAGATGTGATTTATTGATTGGAAAACCCACACTGAGCTTCCTGGGGAACAGTAGTGTTGTCGGGGGCCAAGGGCAAATATGGGAGCCCTGTGAGAAGCTGTGTCGCTTGCTAAAACACAGTGTGGTAGAAGTGTGCTGAGCTCTTGGGTATGGTTGCACCAGCTCAGTCCATGTTAGCTGCTGGCACTGCACTCCAGATGGCAGGATGCATGCACACTTGGTCCATCTCTCTGTGTCTGGCTCTGGGACCACAGAGACGAGGGGCTAACTGGTCTTGGGTGTGCCTGAATTCCAGGTTGGATGTTGTGATAGAAAGAATAATTTAACCTGTTTTCCAGCAGGTCTTGCACAACTTCTGATGAGGAGTGTGCTGAGGTTGGCTGTACAGCTCAATGGTAGAGGGTCTGGGGAGATGGTTCCCAGTAAAGAAAAACAAATGTCTTAAGAACATTTTCAACACCTTCTCCTGAACACCACTGTATGGAAGCAGCTTGACATGGCTGCAGCCATCTTGAATCATGAGAGGCACTTGGTTACCTTTTTCTGCATAGCCGCCCATAAAGACCCATAAACCGATAATGCCATTCCAGTCCCATGGGTCTTAATCAGTGAATTTTCTGGATCCTCAGATAAGCAGACACATTCCAGCCAGTGGAAGCCCCTTAAATCCACTCTGATTTCTGACTTGCAACCAACTGGTCACAATGCTACTGGGACCATCTGCCAGTAAATTTCTAATAAGCCACAGCATGCCGTCCCAGGTCTGTCTGTCTCTCTTGGTTTCCTAGTGTGTTGGGATGGGTCCACACACCAGGCAGGACTATGTTGTTCTGGAAAACCTATGAATCACCGGGAGGTTCAGTTCTTTCCTCTGCCTTGAGGGAGCACAGTTCACATTGCCTTTGAGTGGTAAACAAACGTTGGGAACATTTATGTCTACTTCCTGGGAACATGAAGTGCCCACCCTGGGGCTCCAGTGCCACACCCCCTCATCTTGATCCTGGGGATACAAGGCTTCTGCGTGTCACGGATACATAATGAGAGGTCATCCTCTGGCAACCTGGGGGCAGTTTGGACCTGAAATCCTGCCATCTCTGGACAGTAGTGTGACTTCAGGTTGTCTGCGTTGGCCACCTATTAAATTACCCCAAAAGAGTGGTTCAAACAATAGATGTGTGATGTTTGCTGTGGCCAGGAATTTGGGTGAAGGTGGTCAAAGGGTCATGGGTCCCTGCCATGGTGTCATCTGGGGCTGCTCTCATCTGGAGGCTTCATGGACTTTCTTGGGGCTGGTGCACTAGCTGTTGGTGGGATGATTCAGTTCCCTGTGCATGTCTGTCACACTGTGGCCAGCTCCTCCTGTGAAGCAGTTGCAGAGAGCATGCAGTCCTATGATCCAACCCCAGAAGTCACCTGTCCTCCTCTCTGCAATATCCTTTGGGTCACTGAGGTCATGATGCCTGTTAGGGGAAGGGACATGAGAGATGTGAGACTCTCTGTCACCTGAACACCAGCCTGCAAGGATGAGGACGGAGCCTGACCCCTCTCTGGTCTTCCTGGGTACCGTGCTGTGGTACCAGCCTGTGTGTCTGGACTTGCAGAGGTCCTAGAAAGCATGCCAGTTGTAGAGGACTTCTTAGATCACAGCAGCAGAGGCCACCACAGCCAGGGCTGCTGGGCTGGTGGGTGGCAGGACCCAGGAGGAGAGCAAGCTTCCCAGCCTTGTAGAAATCAGGGAGGTCTCCACAGTAGCTGGCTTAGATGTCCAGACAGCTTAGGCCTGGAGTGGGAGGGATAGTGTCACCATTCACAGTCATGGGAGATGAAGGAATCAGACCCATGGCATGGTCCTCAGAGACACTCATCTCCCCAGCTCCTGCCTGACACAGAAATATCAGTCATGAGCTGTGTTCTGTGATCTAGTTGTGGGCAACAGGGACACGCCTCTGACCACCACAAAGGCCTTAACACTGATGCTGTGTTAGGGCCAGGGTCTAGAAATCACCACCAAAATAAAGGGTAGTTCTGTTTTAGCCAAGCTTCATGCACATGCCACCTCCAGAGAGCACCATCATGTCCCATGTGACAAGTGGGAAAACTGAGGCTTGGAGCTCACAGCCCTGGCTGAAATCACCAACAAGGCTAGCCCCGGCTTTGCTGTGGACACCCCAGTCCAAACAGATGCAGGTGCTGCAGCCTCTGCCTCCTCGCAGAACACACAGAGCTTCTTTGGCACTGACCAGAGACCTCCTAGGTCCAGGGCTTCCCAAGTTGGGAGGAGGCAGCCTGTATTCACGTGTGGCTCAGCTTCTGTGCTCAAGGTCAGTCATGTGACTGATTAATAAGGCCCATGAGTCCCACAGGAGGGATTTTCAGGGATTGCTGAGGAGTGAGGAGGATTGCCCAGCCTCCCTCTCTCGCTCCCTCCTTCCCAAGGTAAGAAGAGATGCAGCTTCATTGACCAGAATCTGTGAGATACTCCATGCACGTCGGTGTGTATTTGTGAGCCCATTTCACAGGTAAGGAACAAAACGCCAGAGGGAAGGCTGTGGTCCAGATATATGTGCAAATGCAGAGCCAGGCCTGTGCGTGTCCCTTCAGAGCGACAGGGAGCCGAGGAGACAGCTCAGCACGCAGAGTGCTGAGAGGCATTGAGTGTGGACCCCCTGCACGGAAAGCTTGTAACCCGTACTGGAGGGACCAACCTGACAGGATCACTGGGGCTTTCTGATAGCCTCGTGGGTATGGGAGACAGGACGCACACAGCCAGTGATAAAAACAGAAAAATAAATACACAAAAAGAGGTGATCTGCAGGTCCCGTGAGACCTGTCTCAAGGGAAGAAGGTGGAGAGTAAGTTGGCAAGATACTTGATGTCCTACTGGAACCCTCCACAGCCATCCTTCATTCCACCTGGCTGCTGAGGATTGTCTAGCTCACGTGGGCTCTGTCTTCAGCTTCCTGAACTAACGTGATAGGCCCACACCTGTAATTCTGACTCTCTGCGGGTGGAGGTTGGAGGAGCAAGAATTTCATGGCCATCTTCTGTCACATAACTAAATCACAGTCAGCTCAGGTTACATGAGACCCTGTCTCAAAACAAAACAAAACCACAAACCCCTCTGCTTTGATCAGCTATGGGTTGACTTTTTCTTGGTCACCATGCTGGCCTCAGCCACTAAATAATTGACCAACACAGCTGGACAAGTGGGGACAACTGACCAATGCTGAAGGTCAAATTACAGCAGACCTTGACCTTGGACAGTTTACCCTCCTTGGCCCCACTGAAGGGAGTCACTACCTTGTGCTTGGAGTTTCTTAATCTAACCCTATTCATTTTTAAATTATATTTTATATGCATATTTACCTACAAAGAATATAGACCAGTGTCAGTATTTTCCGTGTTTATGCATTTTGAGTATTTTTGCTGCTGTTGTTGTAGTACTGGATGTTTTGTTTTGAAATAAGATCTTATTATTGGCTAACCTAGTACTTGTGTAGCCTAGAATAGCCTCATGGC